TACCAAACCAGGGCTACAAACAATTCTAAACAATATCCCCGAAAGAAACAGTGAAGGTCACAACACCATGAGGCCCAACAGAGCAAATCAATTAGGCAAGGCAAGAAACTAAAGGGAGAGGGGGAAACATTATAAAGAGCCAACAACAGGACAATAACATGACAATGATAAGTTAATACATAACAACTATAAGCATCAATGTCAATGACCTCATTTCACCAATCAAAGGAAATAGACTGGCAGAATGGATTAAGAAGCAAAATCCAACAATGTGCTGTATACAAGAAGCATACCTAGTTCAAAAAGAAACTCATAGACTGAAAGTGAAAGGATGGAAAAGAGTTCTCCATGCAACAGGAGCCAAGAAAAAAGAATGGGTAGGTACCTTATTTGCAGAGAAAATAAATTTTAAACCAAAGCTGATTAAGAGAGGCAAAGAAGGCCACTGCATCCTTGTGAAAAGAACAATCCAGGAGGAACAGATGACAATCATGCATATATATGCACCAAATATTAGTGCCCCGACTGTATAAAACAAATAATAAGGGGCATGAAAAACTATATAAGCACTAATACAATTGTATTTGGGGCCCTAAATACCCCACTCTCACAAATAGACAGATCATCGAGACAAAATACTAGAACTGAACCAAGCTTCTGAACAAATGGACTTAATAGACGTCTAAGGCATGTTCCACCCCACAAAATCAGAACATACGTTCTTTTTGCTTGCACATGGGTTATTCTCCAAAATAGACCACACGCTAGCTCATAGAACATGTTTAAATTAAGGCAAAGGAATCGAAGTCATCCCATGTATATTATCAGACCGTAGTGCAATTAAGCTGGAGGTCAAAAGCATACAAAACCACAAGAACGTCACAGACATGTGGACATTGAACAACACTCTCCTAAATAATCAATAAGTCACAGAGGAGATTAAAGAAGAAATTAGTCAGTTTTTAATACTAAATGATAATGTCAATACAACATACGAGAATCTATGAAACACCAAGAAAGCAGTTCTATGTGGAAAATTCATAGCAGCGAATGCCCAATGTAGAAAAACAGAGCGAGCTCAAATAAACAACCCAATGATGAACCATAGGTTCCTAGGAAAAGAAGAGCAGGAAAAACTCGAAGCTCAAAGAAGGGAGGAAATTATAAAATCAGAGCAGAAATCGATGCAGTGGAGACTAAGAGAATGATACAAAACATCAGAATTGAAGAGTTGGTTTTTCCAAAGAATAAATAAAATCAATAAACCCTTAGCCAGGCTTGTCAGAAAAAAAAAAAAAAAAAAAAAAAAAAAAGGAAAGAAAAGGCTCACATCAATGTAATTAGGAACATTAAGAAAAGGTGAAGTCACAACAGACACAGGAGAAATCCAGAGGATCATCAATATCTAATTTGAGGACCTGTACTCTAACAAAATGGAAAACACAGAAGAAACTGATAGATTCTTAGACACATATGAATAACCAGAGTTGAACAAAGAAGACCTAAAACTTCTAGACGCCCCGATTACAATCAGTGAAATTGAAAATGTAATAAAACATTTGTCAGCAAAGAAAGCGCAGGCCCTGATGGCTTCACTGCTGAATTCTACGAGACATTTAGAGAAGAATTGCTGCCACTACTCTTCAAACTATTCAATGAAGTTGAAAGGGAAGCAATACTTCCAAATTCATTCCTGGAAGCAAGTGTTACTTTGATTCCGAAACCAGGGAAAGACCCAACCAAGAAAGGGAACTACAGGCAAATCCCCCTAATGAACATAGGTGCAGAAATCCTCAATAAGATACTGGCAATCAAAATACAGAGGGACATCAAGAAGATCATACGCCCTGACCAAATCGGATTTATCCCAGGGATGCAAGGATGGTTCAACATACATAAAGCAATAAATGTAATACACTATATTAACAGAGTCAAGGATAAAAACCATATGATCATCTCTATAGATGCAGAAAAAGCATTTGACAAAATTCAACAACGATTCGTGATAAAAAAAAAAACCTGCAGAAAATCGGAATAGGTGGTATTTATCTCATCCTGATATAGGCTATCTCTAAGAAACCAATGACCAACATCATGCTGAATGGCCAAAAACTGAAAACCTTCATGCTAAAATCAGGAACGAGACAAGGATTTCCACTATCTCCACTCCTGGTCAATAAGGCCTGGAAACATTAGCCACAGCAATTAGACATGAGAAAGAAATTAAATCAATAAAGATAGGCAAGTAAGAAGTTGAACTGTCAATTATTTGCTGACCATATGATACTCTACATAGAAGACCCAAAATGCCCTACCAATAGACTTGATTGACACTTTCAGCAGACTAGCTGGATACAAGGTCAACACTCGAAAATCAATAGCCTTCTTGTACACAAATAACAGACTCACTGAGAGAGAAATGAGAGAAACAATTCCTTTCACAATAGCATCCAAAAAATGACGTGTCTAGGAATCAATCGAATGAAAGAAGCAAAACACCTCTACACTGAAAACTACAGCACTCTGAAAAAAGAGACGGAGGAGGATATAAGAAAATGGAAAGGTGTCCCCTGCTCCTGGGTAGGAAGACTCAACATAGTGAAAATGGCCATACTACCAAAACTGCTATACAGATTCAATGCAATCCGCCTTGAAATTCCAACAGTATATTTCACAGAACTAGAGAAAATAATCCAAAATTTTATTTGGAACCAGAAGAGACCTAGAATAGCAAAAGCAATTCCTAGGCAACAGAGACATGACAGGGGATATCACAACCCCTAACTTAAAACTATGCTACAAAGCCAGTGTGATATAAACAGCACGGTTCTGACAAAGAAAAAGACCCAAGGATCAGTGCAATAGATTGGAAGATACGGAAACAACTCCAGATGTACTCATCTACCTCATCTTTGACAATGGAGCCAACCATCCTCAGTGGAGAAAGCATACCCTCTTTAATAAATTGTGTTGGAAACACTGGATTTCAACCTGCCAAAGATTAAAACTAGACCCTTATCTTTCATCACGCACTAAACTAAAATCCAAGTGGATTAAAGTTCTAAATATTAAAACAGAAACACTAAACTTGCCGGAAGATAAGTTAGGTAGAACTCTCGAAGACACTGGCATAGGAAAAGACTTTATGAACAAATCCTCAGTAGCACAGGAACTAGCACAAACAATCAACAACTGGGATTTCATCTTAAACAAGCTTCTGTACTGCAAGATAAACCACCAACAGAGCTAAGAGACAACCTACGGTGCGGGGAAAAAATTTTTACCACCTGCTCCTCAGACCAAGGACTATTATCTAGAATATATAAAGATTAAAAAAAAAATCAGGCCCGCCCCCCAAATATAAGGACTCGATTCAAAAATGGGCATCTGAAATGAAAAGAAATTTCTCAGACAAAGAAGTAAAAGCAGCAAACAAACACACAAAAACGCTCCTCATCACTGGTCATTTGAGAGATGAGAAATGCGGATGAAAGCAACACTGAGATTCCACCTCACCCATGAAAGAATAGCTGCTATCGAGAAATCAACCAATAACAAGTGCTGTGGGGGTTGTGGGGAGGAAGGAACAGTTCTCCATTTTGGGGGGGGTGGGGAGTGCAGACTGGTGCAACCACTATGGAAGTCAACACAGAGATACCTCAAACAACTAGTATTAGAGCTTCCATTTGGCCCAGCTATCCCTCTTGTGGCTACCTTTCCAAAAGCATGTAATTAAGCATACCGCAGAGATATATGCACCCCCGTGTACACGGCAGCACAATTTGTAACAGCTAAAACTTGGAAACCGCCCCGTTGCCCATCAGTTGGAGACTGGTTTAAGAAGATGTGGTTTTTCTATAATATGGAGTAGTACTCAGCCATAAACATGAGAAACTAGAGGCATTCGTAGGAAAACGGATGCATATCGAGGCCACACACTTAACTGAAATACATAGGACACATGTAAATACTGAATAGTTTCTCTGGTGTGAAAAACTAAAAGTGTAACTTAGATCAGAATTGTATAACCGATAAATGAAATAGGAGGAGAAGTGCTAAAGGTGTAGGGGAAGTGGGAAAGGTAAGAGAAAGGAAATAAGTAAAAAGAAAAAAACATGAGAAAATGGAAAAAAAAAGTCTTTATCAATAGGGAAAGGTTGAGGGGGTGAAGGTAGGACAGGGGTGTGGGGGAAAAATGAGAATCAAGATCTGTCACGTAAAGGCACAAGATCTCGATGATGAATGTAACTGTACAGTATACCCCCCCCCAAAAAAAAACCCAACAAACCCAATGAAAAAAATGAAAATAAAAAAATGTTTTAAAAACCCAAAGCTTGTAGAGTTGCTCGGACGTCATTCGTGCGTGCTTGGTACACAGTGGACAGAGCACAAATGAAAAGTAGTGCCTTTTTCTCGCATTTCATGGGTCCTTCCAAAGGAAGGCCTGGGTCTAATTTATTTCTCCTCTTTGATTCTTCTTGTCCTAATTGGTCTCGGTTTCCCCCACCATAAGGTTCACATTGGACTAAGATCGTGCTGGTTGTCCCTTGGTCAAAGTTGACTTGTTGCACTGATGTTTGGTTTGGTAAGAGTGTTGATTTGGTAACAGCGAGGCCACTTTCCTTCCCGGCAGCAAATGGCTACAGCCAAGCAGGAACTGCCCCTTAGGCAGCGCATGCACTGTCCATTGGCCAGAGTCCATCTGGCCGGCTCTACTCATTTTCCTGATCTGCTGCTTTGTCCTGCAGGCTTTACCATTTGTGGCCCTCTGGACAACCGGAAACAGCCGATGCCAAGGCAGAGGGTAGGTGGCTCCATTGCCAAGTGAATAGATTTGCTACTCAGTCCCCTCTACGTGGCTCTCACCTAGCCATGTAAACTCCCCACTTTTCAGTACAATACCTCACACTTTGACACATGGGTTGAACTAGTCTGTCAGAGGCGGGATTGTCTAGGTTATACCGTGGTAACATACAAGCCATATTTCTCAGTGCCTCGCAACAAGAACGGTTTATTGTTTGTTCACAAACCCAGGCACAAAGCGAAAACATCCCCCTGTTTCCACATGCACGCAGAGATGGGTCTATGTGTGCACGTAGCATACGTGCAAAATCACAGGACAAACAAAACTTCTCAGAACCCCATTGAGAGACCGGTTATCCTAGGTTGCACAATCCTGTTTTTGTCAGATACCCAAAAGGCCCGGCATCTAAAGAATTAAGGAACGAAGGAACAAGGGTGTTCAGCCTCCCTCGAAAGAAGTGCCCCACGGCATATTTATGGGTCCAAAAAGGGTCCAAAAACTTATAAAACATCTGGAAGCTTAAAAAAGGGTGTTAAGCACTTTGAACATTAACCATTTATTCAGAAACAGGACACCAAGTTGGCAGTGCTCTAGTGAGGGCTCTTCCTCTGGGCTCTTATGTCAAGGGAACAATGCAGCGCATATGTCCAACAGCCACTCGAGTGGAGTTCGCTCTGCTGGGTCGTAGGGAGGGGCTGGGAAGCTGGACTCCTCTGTCTCCGGTGCCAGCTGTGGGCAGAAAGGGAAGGGCCAGAGCCAGGTCACACCCATGTCCTCTCTCGGCTCTCCCCTCCTTTTCTGGCCAACTCAACCAAAGACTTGTCACTGAGACCCCTGCGCAAACCTCTTCCTGCCTGGTTTCCCAGCTCCAGTCTTGCCTTCCCCATCCCTCCATCACAGCCACTACACCTCTTTCGGTCACTCCCAACCAAGGTCTGCATATGCCCAAGGCCAGGTCGGAAACACTCCCTGGACCCTCAACACCCGTGGCTGCTGCTCCAGCCTCCCTGGGGCAGCCCGCCAGGCCTCCGTGATCGGAAACCCCTCCAGCTCCATCTTGTTCTGTTCCAGAAGCTCTTCCAGGGTAGCTTCTTCACTCACACACCACACCACACCCCCACCATACCTGTCCAGCCATGCCCATCCTTTCCTCCCAGCCTCCCTAGGCGTTTAACCCTCCTCTGAGTTCCTCCAGCCACTCCTCTCCGGGTGTGTCGTTGTTATTTAGCTGCAAAATACAGCTTGGGAAGGCATGCAGTCTCCACATCTAGACTGGAAGCTCCCAAAAGGCAGGGACCAGGTCTCCTTCCAGATGAGGCCCTCAAGTCTGTATGTCTTTCCCAGACCACGGCACACCACAGGGTTTCAGGGAGCAAGTCCTCGCCTGGGAGCGCTTCCACTGGGTATGCTGTGCGCCCTAGACGAAGGCCCCGGTACCCTCGGGGCCTCACTGTCCTTGTTTCTTGACATCAGGGCACACTGGCCATTTGCCATTGAGCACAAAGCCCCTCGACAAGCTGACGTCTCACTGGACAGCCCTCAAGTAGCATCTCGTGAGCCAGACTGAGGAGTTGGGTGCTTGGCCCCAGGACTTCTGCCCCACTGACCCTGGTTTCCCCGTTTGAACCAGCTTACCGCAACAGCAACGTGCCTTCTCTCCACCCCATTGCCCAACTGTTCCCAGCCCCAGTTGGCCCTTCAGGGGAGCATGCAACTTACTGGGCTGCAGGGCTGGTGTAGGGGCAAGGCATCAGGAGGAGGGGCCGAAGAAGAGTTCTTCAGAGCCAGCAGAGCCTTGGCTGCCTCCAGTTTCCTCTCCCATTCTAAGAAGGCAGAAACCGAAGCCTCCGCTGAGGCATCGGGCAACTGCAAGGGAAAGGATGTGAGGGGACTCGGGGCCCGGGGAAACCACACCTCCACAAGCGCCCCCTCAGTGCCTGGTTCCCTCGAGCCCCCGCCCCCACCCCCAAGCCCTTCTGCTGTTCCCATCCACTACACTTGACCCCTCCCAGGCCTCTGCACCCCAGCTCTTTCCTAGGACCTGTGGCTGCAGTTCAAGAGGGTCAGGGGTGGCACAAGGATCCAGGATCACACTCGAGCACCTAGAAACAAGGAGAGGAGAGGCCAGGGGGTTAAACCCTCTGGCAGACACATAACTCCAGTAGATCACGAGGGGCAGGAGTTGGCCACACCAAGGTTGCAGGCATTCGCGTGGCTGGAGGGCCTTGTGGCTTGGGCAGATCCTTTCTCCTGCTTGGCCCGGTTTCCTTTCCACACCTCTTTTCTCTACATCTTCCCTGAGACACTAATTCCTACCAGCTCTCCCCTCCCAAGGCCAGGGTGAAGATGATGGGGGAATCACGGGTGTCTGTGTTTTAATCTGCACAGCACCTGGAGAGATGAGATCACTGTCCGTTTGCAAGGACTGGCTCTTGCCTCCATTAACCCAAACCCCCATGGGTCTTGGTCAAAGACATGCCCCGTTCATCTCCAGGAAGCGTCCCCTCTCTACTGGCCTCTGGACATTCCCCTGGTCCTCTGAGGCCCTCATCCTCATGGCCCCACTTTTCAGCAGGACCTGCTATCCCATTGCATCTGTTTCACGTGGGATAACAGCCCCCTTACGATGAAGGTCCACTGTGTGGCAAGCCTTCGTGCAAGTCCTCTTTTCAATTCTGTAGGTGTACAGTCCTTTCCCCGGTACACACGGACAGACACACACACACGCACACACACACGCGGAAATGGAGGCCTGAAAAGTAAAGTCACAGGTCCAAAGTGCCACGAATAGGATATGGCAACTTCGGGAGTCCCCCTGCCCCGGCGTCAGTCTGAGATGCTGCCTTCTCTTTCCCCTGTCCCTTTGCCTCCCCCCCCCTCATCCGGCCCTTCCCCCTCCTACTTCTCGTGGCAACAGTCATGAGATCGGGCACAGGAACACTGGGGAAGCAAGCAGCTCCGTGGTCCTCTTTCTACTCACATGCTGGGCAGGGCAGGGTGCCCTTGGGACTCCCCAGAAAGAGAAACTGCCAGTTGCTGCTCTGGGGTGGTTGGAGTACAGGGCAGAGACGAAGGCCCTAGGGGCCAGTGGAGCAGCAGAGGCCCCTTAGGGCTCTCCTGTAGGGGCAGAGATCACAGGTAAGAATCGGGTACTCGGCCAGCCGTGGAGAGAGGAGGTATGGACACGTTTGGGGATGAGGACAGGAGCCCAGAACATAAGCGCTGGGAAGACCTTGAAAACCAGATAGTCTTACCTTTTACTTTGGCACCCAGGGGGGAATACTGCGGCCCAGGGAGAAATGAGTTTTCCCAAGGTCTCATGGCCAGTCAGTGGTAGGGTGGGAGGTGGGAGCCCTGCCTTTGGATTCCACAGTGAAAGGGATCTGGGCAGTGGCTGGGTGGGAGCCTCCCACTCTGGCGGCAGACTCTCCTTACCTCCTGGGGGGCTGCACAGGGGCAGGCCTCAGGCTGGGGCACAGCGTTTTCCTTCTCAGCTACAAAAGACCAGGGACAGCATTCATGAGCCTTTGCCCCTGCACCGGCCCTGCCACACTGAGGGTGTGGGGGGGGGAGGTCCCAGGAGTGCTCGCCCAAGGCCACACTGCAATTCAATCTGGCGGCAGGAGTAGTGATAGCACTAGCCATAGGTATACCCCACTCACACCCAGGCTCGCTCCCAGGCCGCAGACACTCACTGAGGACTTCTGTGTCCACGGCCAACTTCTTCATGGGTGTGTGAGATATGGGGATGTCAGCCATAGGCCTTATCAGGCTTTGAGCCAGGTGCTTCCTTAGCTGTGCCCTCTGCTCCCTCTTCAAGGCACTCAGAGCGGGCAAGGCCCTGCGCTGTTCGCTAACGTGGTGGGAGGCGTTGAAGACCTAAGGTCAGCCACACGTAGAGGATGCCTGACCCCTCCCCTTGTCAGACACCAAAGGAGAGGAGGGCAAAACTGTCACACTCGCAGGTCCAGAAGAGGCAGAAATGCTTTCTGCCCCTGATTTGGGTAGGGATGCCATCGTTGTGGTCGCTCACTGCTTGGATCAGGTTGCCCTCCCTCCTTTCCGCGGGGCTTTCTCCAGACCTTCCACCCCAGCCTCCTTACTCACAATCGCCTCCTTCCCAGGCAGCCTCCTCCTAGAACCTCTTGGAACAGGAACCCTACATGTTCGATCTGGTCATGACTCCCCTTGCTCCCCCTCACTCCACCATCCATGGCACTTAGGCATACACCGTGCTCCTGCGTCCTCCTCAACAACCGTTACATTCCCTTCTTGGCCATCGCCTGCCTTGCACTCGGCTAAACCCCGTTCGCATTCACGCGGGCACTTGTCTCCCGAACTTCCTGCACTCCTTCGCTCCCCACACAGGATTTCACGCCTCGCCCCCACCCCGGCCCCACACGCAATGTGTACTCTCCTTGATGTCCCACATTCAATTTCCCACTCGCACTCCATTCCCGTGTTCCTTGCATCTCACCTTAATCTTGATCATTCCCTGGTCCCCCTTGAAACAGAGTAAGTACCCTCTTGCACCTCATGAAATCATATTGTTCTCCTGAATCCCTGACCCTTTTTCAGTTATTTTTTTTTTCTCTCACCTCTTCATTCCTTTCTGCCACCTGTCATTCAGCAGGTTATTTGTTGAACCTCCTATGGAGCGCCTGGCCAATAGCCAACCCCGGCAGTGCACTAAGTTTCCTATACCGACAGACCCACTGGGCTTTCAGGGAAACCCGCTCCTTGCCGTCCTCCACTGCCTCCCACCAATCTTCCGCAAGCCTCCCCTCACTGGACCACACTGTCTTCTCCTCCCCGCCACCCTCCGAGCCCCCTGCCCTGCGTCGTCTGGCCTCCCCACGGTACACGGCCACCTCCAGAAGCACGGTCTCTCCACTCGGCCCCACCTCAGAACCAAAGGCAGGGGTATGGGCCCTGTGCCAAAGGCCCGAGGTCCCGAACCAGGGTGCCGGGCCGGGATTTTGCCGGGGGTAGGGGTGGGCGGGATCTCGGGAGCCAGTGGGGTAACCTCCCTGAGGCAGACAAAAGAGGAAGGAATTTGGAATCCGGAGCAGGAGGGAGAGAGGAAAGTGGAGGTGTGGAGGTGGCGGGTCGTGTTTCTGCTGAGGGCCTGTGCTTACCACAGCCCCCGGCTGGTCTGTGTGACTTCAAGTTCTGAGGGAATACTCACGGTCTTTTTCACCTTCCGCTCTGCTTTTCCCGCCTTTCTACAAAGGCCAACCAGCTGCCAGCGCTTCCTCTTAACCCCCACCCACTCCCAGACCCGCTCCGCTCATTGGGTGGCTGAAGACCAAAGAGCCTTGACATCGATGGACACGCCCACACCTGCAGTCCTACTCTTTCGCCTCCTGGTGCTGTCCTGGGCTCACTTCGCTGCAGTCGCACTCTTTCGCCCCCTAGTGGTGTCTTGCGCTCACTTCACAAGGCCCGCCACATTGTTCCTGAAGTGAAAGAGAGCTTTATGCTCCCTAGGGAAGCCTCTCAGTCTAGCCTCCACAATAAAATAGTGTGCAATACGTTGTGTTCACACGTGTGTGAGTCAGCTATGTGCTACTGTGCTGTGATTTACCTACTGAAACCTCGGCAGATGATTATTTAAGTCAGCCAAATGTTCCTACATCGGGTTTTGACCAGAGG